GACTGGGTGGGAGGAACCGGGGACGACGACTGCCTCCACTCGGGGACAGTAGGATGGAGCGGAGATGTCGCAATGCTTTCTGGGAAACGAAGTCCTTTTGATTCGTGGGCTTCGCAAGCCTGCAGGACTACAGGCCCCACGGCGGCTGAGCGGCGCGCTGCTGCCCCCTGGTGGAGTCGAGGCTGGAGGGTTTGCAGAGGAGGGAAGCAGAGACCTGGGACCGTTGTGACAAACCCACAGGAGCATTGGGGGGGCAAAAGGGTGATGGTTTAAAAGTAGGAGTGCAGCCTCACTGTACTTCTGGCTAACAAGGAGCAAGCATCCCTGCGGGCCAGCTGCCTCACTAACTGAAGCTATTAGTCTCTGCAACTGTGTGTGTGCATGTGTGCATGCGTGTCTGTGTATGTGCGTGCGTGCGTGCGTGCGTGCGTGTGTGTGTGTGTGGAGGTGGGTCCATCCTCAGCCCTGCTTCCTAGGAGTGAGCTCATTCATCTGAATAGCCAGAGCAGGATTTGAACCTGGGCTGCCAGGCTTGAGAGCTTGCACCTTCCTCACTAAAGCTTATGGATCACACCTCTCTTAACTATAATTAGCCCCATCGTATGAGTACATATGAGCGCAGGTCCTTGGAGAGCAAGTATGAACTCTCTTGGATCCCAAGTATCCCCCAAGGGCTCATAGGCTGAAGACTTGTCACCAGCCTGTGTCGTTGCTGATGGTGGAACCTTTAAGTGGGCACTGGCTGAAGGAAGGGAAGACAGGTGGTGCACACAAGGGGGGGGGGGGGGGGGGGGAGGTATCATCTGCTTTTGTACCACTGTGAGATGAGCAGCGTCGCCACGTGCTCCTTGCTGTGACACGTCTGTCTCACCGCAGGCCGGGATAACAACAACAACGACAACGAGGGTCACATAACCGCGGATGGCAATCTCTGCAGCCAGGAGTTTTCCCCATTTGCAATGCTAGGGGTCGGATCCAGGACCTCGTGCATGCGTGGCAAGTTCTGGGTCCCTGAGCTAAGCCAGGCTCCTCTCAGCTGGGGCTGACTGAGGGTTAGTGTTTGCAAGTCTCAAGACTGGAGTTTGGTTGAGCATGTGAATGTCAGGTGAGCATGCGGGCCCGTCTGTAAGTCTAGCCTCGAACGGGGGCAACAGGGAATCTCCAGAGCAGGCTGGCTAGCAAGACTAACATTATCAGTGAGCCCTGGGCTTGAGTGAGAGACCCGCCTTGATGAAGAGCAACAGAGGATTATTGCTGTATGCATGCCCGAGTACAGATGCACACATACCCACACATGCAAACATAGCTACATACATGAGACACACACACACACACACACACAAACACGGAAAACATCCTCTCTGGTATTTGCCACAACAGAAGGCTGCCCAACAAGCTGGTCGGAAAGTCGGGGCATTCTTCTCGCTTGCTGACTTGGCGGGGAGGTGATGTGCCAGCATGTTCTATGGACCTACTTCTTGTAACGCTTGATGTCTCTGGGCATGTGTGGTGGGTGTGTGGCTTGTGCAAATCCACAGGCAGTTGTTTCGAACCATGTTTGGGTTGGCCCTGCCACTCTGGGTTTTGAGTCCACATGCTCTGTCTGCGGTGGGGGCAGGTGACACCGGTTGTGTGCCGAAGGACCACCCCAGAGCTCTCAGGCATTTTTGTTTCCTTCCTTCTGTATCCGCTCGCTGTTACTGCTTCCTCCCCCTTCGGGAGTTATAATTAAGCAATTACAACAATTAAGCCATCTCGCAAAAAGTCATCCTGCCCAGAATCCCTTGAAGGAGCTAATGAGGGTTATTATTTTCCATGCAGGTCCTTGCCTAGTGACTCACATTCTCCAGAACACACGGACTGCACATGCATCGTAAGCCTGAGGGCGGTGTTCTCTGCCAGGCTACACAATGCTACAAAGAACGGCTTCATGGTACTCACTACTTCCATGCTTTATTTACTTATTTACTTATTTATTTTCTCTGCTTAGGATGGAACCATATGCTAGACAGTATTCCCAGCCCTCTTTTTAACTTTTAAAAAAAAATTTATGTGAGGCTGGAGAGATGGCTCTGCTCTTCCAGAGGTCCTGAGTTCAATTCCCAGCACCCACATGGTGGCTCACAGCCATCCGTTATGAGATCTGGTGCCCTCTCCTGGCCTGCAGGCATGCATGCAGGCAGAACACTGTGTATGTCATAAAAATAATTAAACAAATTAAAAAAAATTATGTGTGTGAGTGGTTTTTGGCATGTATGTGCTCCACAGGCATGCAATGCCGTCAAGGGCCGGAAGAGGGCATCAGATTCCTTGGAACTGGAGTTACAGGTGGTTGTGAGCCACCAGGTACACCAGGTAGGTGCTGGAATTGAAGGTGAAGCTGGCTAAGTGTTTTTTCTTTCTTCCTTTTTTTTTTTGTTTTTGTTTTTTGTTTTTTTGTTTTTTTTGTTTTTTCAAGACAGGGTTTCTCTGTGTAGCCCTGGCTCTTCTGGAGCTCACTCTGTACCTGGCTTTGAACCCGAAGATCAGCCTGCCTCTGCCTCCCGAATGCTGGGATTAAAGGTGTGTGCCACCACCACTTAGCTTCTTTGCGCTTTTTCCAGCACGGTCTCACTATTTGGGCCCTCAACTCACTCAGTAGCCCAGGCCTGTCTGAGTTGGGAGGATGGCAGACCTGTGCCACAAACCTGGCTTTGTTTACTTCCTTAAAATACTAAGTGAGGGCTGTTGAGATGGCTTGGCAGTTCAGAGCACTGGCTATTCTTCCAGAGGACCCAGGTTCAAGTCCCAACACCTACTTGGCAGTTCACAATAGTTACTCCAGTTCTAGGGTACCTGATGTCCTTTTCTGGCCTGTGTGAACACTGTACACAGGCAAAACATAAAAACAAGTCTTAGACTACAAAGGTCCCTCAGGTGAGGGTCTGCGGCACATCTCACCAGCACCCCTTTCTTCCCAGCTTCTCTAGCGCAGCTCCTTTGACAGCGGGCTGGGCTAACAGTTGCTCTAGAGTTAAGGCCTGACTCCCAGATTCTTCTAGCTTTACCATGTGGCCACATGACATCCTGGCTAATGAGTTAGGGAGTCAGTCTTGAACTGTGCCTCTTCCTGGTTTGTACTCCAGCCCAGGCTGGTTTGGAATTCATCATAAACCAGGCTGTGTTCCAAATCGCCAAGGCTAACCTCCTGCCTCAGCCTCCCGAGTTCTAGGACTGCAGGGAACCGCCAGTTCTGGTGCTTTTCCTTAAAGGCAAAGGCTACCGGCAACCCTGTTCCTTCTCTACTGGAGTGTGGGGTGGGAGAGGCTGGGAGAGCAGCAAGGTGGAGATGGCTGTGGACACACAGAGATCAGAATACTGGGGAATACAGGAGCCTCTAAAAGAAAATTAATCAAGCTGCACGGATGGTTGCGCATGATTTTATTCCTAGTGCTTAGGAGACGGAGGCAAGGAGGATCTCTGGAGTTTGAGGTCAGCCTGGCCTACTGAGTAAGTCCAGGACAAACGACATGCTGAGACCTTGTCTCCTAAGGAAAAAAAAAAAAGGACTCATGCTTCCATCTTGCTTAAGCTGAATTTAGTTTGGGCTGTTACAGCGGCAGAATATTTATATGGGTGTGTATACTGTGTATGCAAGAAGCTGACATTAGCCTTCGTGAGCTGTGTTGGGATGGATGCTAGTCCTCTGCTAGAGCAGCAAGCACTTTTTAATGTATTTATGTGCCTTCATGTATGTCTGTGGTAGGGTGTCAGATCTTGGAGTTACAGATAGTTGTGAGCTGCTATGGGAGTTGAACCTGGGTCCTCTGGAAGAGCAGTCAGTGCGTTTAACCGCTGAGCCATCTCTCCAGCCCCACAGCAAGTACTGTTAACCATGAGTCACCTCTCGAGCGCTCAGGATATTACTAAGTGAAATGGCAAAGTCACCGAGAGGGACATGGGAGACAGAAACAATTGGATCTCTGTGAGTTCAAGGACAGCCTGGTCTATTGAGTGAGTTCCAGGATGGGCCCCAAAGCTACAGTGAAACCCTGTCTACAAAAACAAAAAGAAAGGTAAAGCCATTCTTTGGAGGCATCTAGGTGCCATCCCTTCATCCAGGTGTTTTGTGTTTTGTTTTGTTTTGTTTTTGAGACAGGATCTTTTTATGTATTTGTTGCTGTCCTGGCACTCGCTCTGGAGACCAGGCTGGCCTCAAACTCACAGAGATCCGCCTGCCTCTGCCTCCCGAGTGCTGGGACTAAAGGTGTGTGCCACCACCACCCACTATGAGTTACTTTACCATGATCTTCCCGAAATCAAGAGACTCCCATATCCTCCTGGATTCTGATTAATTTAATGCACAAATCTGAAAAGTCAATGGCAGACAAACGTGAATACAATTAAACAGGATCTGAGGAAAAGGGCCACAGGCATACAGACAAAGGGGCTCTATCAGGGGCCAGATCAGGGGATGTCCTTTCAGCATCACATCTCATCCAACCCGTAGTCCTCCTCTGGGAAATCTCCCACGGTGACAGCCGATGGCTTGACAAAGGCACCGTACTTGGCCTCGCACTCAAAGTAGCGTTTTCCGTTCACACTGCAGGACAGGATGGGGAGGTGACAGTGAGGGCAGGCTACCACTCCAGGAGCCAGGTGGGTGGGCTCAGCCAGCAGCACTCATGTACAAGCACCCACGCCAGGGGCTATACGTTACCTGCCATCGTTTTTCCCTAAGGGCTCGTCATACCGGACACCAACCCAGTAGCCTGGCTTGAAATCTGTGAGTCCTATCCAGGAGAGAAATCTCAATGAGACTTCTATATGGCGCTCACTCATGGTTTGTGCTTCCTGGTGGAGTGGAAAGGCTGCCATGGAGACAGACTCCTACCTCCAGTCCTTATATATCACCTCCTTCCCATTCCCAAAGATGGCAGCCTCGTCCCTGGCTCTTTCTTTCTGATTCTATCCCTCACTCACTCAGGACCCTCGCCAGAGCAGGGCAGCACAGCTATACTGCCACAGACAAAGGCTTATGTGGCAATGTAGTCATGGCTAAGCCAGGCTTCAAATGAGTGCCTGACTACACGGGTTCTGCGTGAGCTGGGCGTTGGTGGTGCACACCTTTGATCCCAGCATTTGGGAGGCAGAGGCTGGCGATCTCTGAGTTTGAGGCCAGCCTGGTCCTCCATGATGCTATAGCCAAGTGCATGGGGCCAAATGGCCAGGAAGCGAACCCTCTGAAACTATGAGCCCAAAGACACCTTTCCTTACGTTCTGTCAGGTTTCTGGTCACAGTGACAGAAAGACACCTACCTACATACATGACAGTGCCCCGGCGAAGGGACTGGCCAGGTGACTGCACCTCACAACGGCTACCCACAGAGATGGCACTGGCTTGGGCCTCCTCTTCACTGAGGCGCTGGGCGGCCTCAGCCTTCTGCTGCGCCCGGAGTTCTTCGTTGTATGGGCCTACCTTGCTGCGTTTCATGAACGACCGAACTGTATCTGTGGGCAGGGTGGAGATGGGGTCAGACCTGACCTTCAGGTCATGCCCCTCCCACAAAGGGCTGGCATTCATGGAGAAATTCTATTCCGCATGTTCAAGAGCTACCGAGAGACACCCTCGAGCCTCTCACCACTGCTTTGGCCTACCTGGATCTCCCCTCAATTCAGAACCGAAGGGCTGCCACCTGTCTCCAGCCCCTCAGCTGCCCCTATTTCTCCACACATTCCTCTTCACCTGGCCCCTGAAACATCTGGCTCCCCGTCTGCCCACTCTGACCTTTCCCAGACGCCTGCTCCAAATGCCACGCTACCCTAATCACACGTCATCTTTACCACGACCCTCTGCCCAATCCCCAACCCACCTCAAGTTCCCCTTTGCCTGCCCAACCTTCTCACCTCCCAGGTATCTGTCCCACCTCACCATCCGCCATCCTCCAAGACCCAGCCCCACCGCCTAGCCTGTGATGGCCCCCTCTGTGTCCCCCGCCTTCGGGACCCCACATGCCCCTTCCAGCCCAACCCATGCATTCTGTACTTTGCCTCCGGTCATAAGCTTCCGGTGAGAGCTCGTATTTCTCCACCTTGGACACGTCTTCATATTCTCCAAGCCGGACGCCACTGTGATCAATGACCTTTGGTAAGAGGAAGGGAGTCAGTGGGGACCAGGGTCAGTAGCGAAAGACCTGGGATGCCGGCATGAAGTCACACACTGGCATAGTCTGGAGACTTTTGCAGAAGCGACGCTTCTCTCCTCCCCTGAGCCCAGCAGAACAGACACAGGCCACTCCCCTCTCTCACCCCCACTAGGCCTCTGGATACTGCATCTGCCTCCAGGGGCTCTCCACAGGCTGGCATCAGCATCACTCATGTGCCCATGTCCCTGAACCAGCTGTAGAGCTCAAGGCTGGCTCACATCCTTCCTCTTAGGGCCCCTGTGAGGTTCCTAGGGTGGCCCCAACCTCCAGAACCAGGATCATCTGGGTCATGACAGCCTCCTCTCTGGTTTCCCTGTTCTGCCTGTCCTCCATCTGGCTTCCCGCCTACAACCTGAGGATGCCCGTGAACACCAGAGGCTCAGCAGATCCCTCATGCTCATCGCCCTCCAGCCCAATAGCTCCCAGCAGCCTCTGTGTTCCCTCCTCCTTCAGAGTATTCTCACAGGCCATATCCTCCCCTGCCTCTTGTACTAACACTCTTCCTGAGACGCCCACAGAGCACCTGCTCCAGAAGTCCTCACAGGGCTCACTCAAGGCCAGCCTCCCCAGTACATGGGATGCCACGCTCTCCTGCACCACCCTCACCCCCACGGACTTTTCCTATCTGGTTCTTGGATCATTTAGCTAATGCCACCACACACACTGGGTAGGGCTAACGCAGGCCTTCTGCATTATGGCTTGCAACTATATCCAACTCAACATACATGCTTGAAGAGCCAGTCACAGAACAATTGAAAGGAAAAAGAACCAGTTCTCCAGGCTCAGTGGCTTCTGAAGTCAGGGCAGACCCAGGTCAAAATTCTAGCAAGAGTTCACCCTTGAGAAAGTAAATTCCAGTGTTGGGAGGATGACCCAGGCCTATAAGTGTAGCACTCTGGAGGTGCGGGCAAGATGATTATCACTCACACACACACACACACACACACACACACACACACACACACACACACACACTCTCAAAAAAAAAAAAAAAAATAAAAAAACAAACAACAGCATTCACATGGTGGGTCACAACCATCCCTAATGAGAACTGGTGCCTTCTTCGGGCCTGCAGGGATACATGCAGGAGGAACGATGTATACATAATAAATAAATAAACAAATAAATAAGAACAACCAACAAACAGAGCAAATCAACAACAACTCCATCCTGAAACTGAGTTTTTTCTTCCACAAATAGAGATAAGTCAACCATAGTCCTGGTGCTCCTCTGGGGACTCAACCCCTCAGCAGTGACTCAGTAATTCACGGAGGCCTAATCCAGTAGCTGGTGACAGGGCAGCGAACTAAAGCGAGGGCCATTTCTGCCCTTCTGGAATTCTAATCGGAGACAGACCAATGAGAAGTCCCATGATCCGCTGGAGTGTGGTAACAGCAAAGAGCAAAGAAAAACCCAAAACATGCTTTAAAGAAGGAGAAAGAGAGGTCAAAATTTTAGACTGAGCTATAATTCCACTTGGGAGGTGGAGACAAGCTCAGGAATAGAGAGAGGGCTTGCCATGGCTATCCAGGGAGTTTGAGGGCTCCCATGAAACTATCTCAGAAAAACAAGAGGTGCTGGAGAGAGACCTCAGGGGTTAAAAGCACTGGCTGCTCTTGCAGAGGGCCCAGGTTCAGTTCTCAGCACCCACATGGCAGCTCACAACACTTGTAACTCCAGTTCCAGGGGATCCAGTGTCCTCTTCTGGCCTCCTTCATTCACATATGTACAGACAAAAAACTCATACACATAAGACCAAAATAAACAAATCTAAAAACAAACCAAAACTGCAAAAAGGCAGGAGAACAGGACAGTTGTGGTGAGATGGCTCAGTGGGTAAAGCCGCCTGCTGCCAAACCTGGTCTTGAGTTCAATTTACCAGACTCACACAGAGGAAGGAGAAAGCCCATTGCTGACCTGCTGGATTGCTGTCCCATACCCATGTGAAAAACATCATGCAATAAAAACAAACAAAACAAATGAAATTGCTGACTCTTGTAAAAGCACTACTTGGAAAGCCATTTTTGTTCTATGCTGACAACTGAACTTAGGCCTTGAAGTTCCACCACACTTGGCTTTCACTGGTGTGTGTGTGTGTGTGTGTGTGTGTAGGCTAGAGGACAACTTTGTGGAATTGGCTCTCTCTTTCCTTAATGAGGCGCCAGGAACTGAACTCAGGCTGACAGGCTCCCCCAACCAGCTCCTATTGTCTTCTGTTTTGTTTTGTTTTGTTTTTTTGAGACAGGGTTTCACTGTGTAGTCCAGGCTGTCCTAGAACTCACTATGTAGACCAGGCTGTCCTTGATCTCACAGAGAGCACTCTGCCTCTGTCTCCCAAGTGTTAGGATTAAAGGTGTGTGCTATCACTGCCCAGCTTAGATTTCTGTTGTTGCTGTTGTTTGTTTTGTTTCTGTAACAGTCTCACTGCTTATTTTAGGCCTGCCTCCTGACTCCTTCTGAATGCTGAGATTACAGGTGTGCCCCACTATACCCGGTGCTGGGAGGTAAAATCTTAAGTAGAAGGGCTGGCCATGTGGGCATATATAAAATGCACTGTTTGGATAGAGAACACAACCCAAGACAGAAAAGAGGATGGAGCTTAGAATAGGACGCCGAAGCAACAGTGGGGAAGGACCTGAGTGGAGGCGGTGGGCAGAGGCTGAAGGCAGAACGAGGAGAGCCGCTGCACACAGAGGTCTTTTGTGCGCCTGCTTCTCCCAATCTGGCCAGGCTTACTGCAATCCCTTAGAGCTCTGTTCTCTTTCCCTCCACATAATATCCTCAGGACATCAGCTCAAACATCCATTCCTCAGGGAGGCCCTTCGGACGCCCCAGGTAAAGCCAGGCGCCTCGTTGTCTGTGTTCCCCACTCTCCCCCGGGGTTGCCTCCAACCCAGTGCAGCAACTCTGGTCTGTCACTGTCTACTTGATTGACATGGGCTTTTCCCTAGGCTTAGCTGGGGTTCCGTGAGGACAGGGACTACACTGCACACCACATCGGGCAAGGCACAGTGTGATCCAATAAATGAACCAACGGATGGGGTGGGGTCCCTGGAAGGGTGGCCTCACATGGATGCGGCAGCCGTCATCTACAGGATAGGAGCCCAGCAGCGCATCCTCTTGATCCAGCTTGGTGTAGAACTTGTCGTCAGCACCATACAGCTCCAGCTCCATGCACGAAGCAGGACTGCCCACCACCAGTTCCAGCTTACACTGCGGGGGCAAGGGGCAGGCTGGCGAGGAGGGCTTGGCCTGGGCCCAGCCAGCCCAGGC